AAACACCGGAAACGACTTTTCCTGTTTTCAAATTTTCTCTCAACAGCAAAACTGGAGCAAAAAACCCCGCAACTGTTACGCAATGAGACAAACTGGTTTAGAAAAATCTTGTCTACATGAAAATACGGTCCTGGAATTAATTAAGCTCACCTGTGGTGGGATAGAAGGTTAAATCAACCTGCCAGGGTCACATTGCCAAATTTTTGCGCAATTAATAAATACCGAAAACTGACCATTTTTGGACCATTTTCCAATTTTTTTTTATTTTGAACAATTTAGCGGTCACGCGTTTGCGTCACTAAACCAAACCGTCTAAATATACGGGAGCCAAGTGTGCCAAATACCATTTTTTTCGCGTTCCTATTAATAGTTAACTTGAATAAGTTATATTATCTATTCTAATTTTCCCGACACGAARCATGCGCGTGCAAATGACGTCCACAATACAAAGAACAAAAATTAAATATTTAACAATTGGATGAAAATCGGAGGATAATTACCAGTTCGCTGTCACCGATAACGAATTTGACCTTTACGAGTCGACCATTAATGACAATAATTATTATTAATTGTGGGCGATAGTGCAAATTATTTCGATTCGAGGAAATTTTCCCTATTTAAAAGCGTCCAAAATTTCTTGGCAATGCAAGAAAATTCCAACGATTATCATCGCAAGGGAACTTTTGATTATTTTAAAAATAATCCTGACATCAGGATTTCTAAATAGATCCCTATCTTGTTTATTTTTTTAGAAAATCAAKGTAACCGTTTTAGTTTTAAGTAACCTAGCAACCGCCAAGATAATGGCGGTCACTATGTAGTAACCATAGCAACGGCTATAGATTGCGCGGGAAGTTTGAATCCATACCYAACATTTYAGCATTTTTCGTTCCGTTTAACTGATAAAAATGATAATGATACGTAGATAAGTGGTTATGGTAGTTACTCCATACTTAATTATTATGCTTGTCYTAAAAGCGGCGTGATAATGAAAGTTATCTTATCAAATTTTATTTCTCTTTTATGTGAGTAATATTAAATTGTGTCACTTGGCCTTCGAGGCTGTCACTACATTATAATTTGCAAATTATTATTATTACTGAAAAAAAAATACTATAATTGATTTTTTGATAGATAAAAAAAACTTCTATAATTTATCAATGTTGCATACCAAGTGTTCAACTTACCCGAGATGTATGTCAATGTAGTTTACCTTTTTTRCCYCACAAAGTATTACTACTAAGGCACGTTAGTGACTGAACCCTTTATCTACCGTTCTATGAATTATTAAGTGTCGTAAAGCCGCGAAATTGTAATTAATTCTGTTCCAATTTTAGCGAATTTTCGCTCACTTTCTGTATTTCAAAAAATATGAAATTGCCAAAGCAATTATTAATAAAATAAACAAAATATTGTTGTTTTTCATTGGTCAAATTGCGTTTCAATTGTGTTTCAGTCGCAGATGAGGAAAAGTGTCTCAATGACGCGCAATTAAGCGATAAAAAGATTTTAGGTCGTCGGCTTTTCGTCTAAATATAATAACACAATTTTGGTGTTTTGCAGCTTTAACGAAGACGTCGTTAAATCAAGTTCGCATCATTTTCAAGAAACAATAAACAACACACTAAGATTAAGGTAAGTTTCTTAGTTTTACTTTAAAACAATGAGATTTTTTTTTTACAATTTTCTGCTTGGGCTAATTTTGTGGGCGGATGACCCGTTTTGGTTTATTTGCGCGCTTTTTTTTATTTAATTAAGGTCGCGTGTACTGAAAGTAAGAGGGGAATGCTACGACCTCGGAATATTTGACGTATTTTACAAAACTGTCGTAAAAATTTTGGACGAGATTTTTCCAACAAAACATTACATTTCATTTAAAAGCTACTCTGTAATTACACCAATAAATTTTTGAGAAAAAATGCATTTCAAAATGAGCAATTTTTCTACTTAGAATCTAAGTTACGCACTATGCATAGTTAGTTATTATACAGGGGGTTTGAACTAAAAATAAAAATATCGAATTTTATAAGTTGTAATAATTACTCATCCACCATATTAACCCAACCTGACATCTATGTTTTAATTTAATTTAATGATTAATTACAAAATTGTTTTTTGACTTGATTATTTTAACAAATTTAGTCGAGAATGGCAACATCGGAAATACATTTTTGAGATCAAAAGCAAAAGAAATTAAAAAAAATGGCGAAAGTGGATTTTAAATGGTGTATTTTTTGTTAATTATATAGAGTGTATCAGCAAATTTGACGAAAAACTTCTCTGGTACAAAATTATGACATTTATCCTCGAGAATTCGAAACGACCTTTACTTACAGTACAGTCAAGGAAAAACGTATACTCAAACACATTTTTCACATTTTTGAATATACAGGGTGACACAAGTTTTTTTCTCTCTCAATATTTTAAATGTATAACATATAAAGGTTGTCCCAATATTAAAAAGATGTTTCATAGTTATAGTATAGGGGATGTATCAAAATTTTTGACATATAGCGGTTTTATTGTTTTTTAACTTACTTTTAATAAAATTCAGTGTTAATAGTTTTTTTTGAGTAATAAATCGGGAAAATTAGGTTATTGACCTCTGATACACATTATCTCACTACCAACCTTGAAATTAGTGAAATACAAATTATCCACGAGAATTTGAAACGAGCTTTAGTTGTGTATAGTTGAAGAAAAAAGTAAACTTAAAAATTACATTTGACATTTTTAAGTATTATACAGGGTGATGCAAATTCTGTCAAATATAGTTTCTACACTACATTTTTTATTAATTTTTTTTAACCGGGTCACTTGATTAATCGACACAATGGTCGGAAAATCGAAAGTAGACCCTTGAACCTGTCCGAATAGGTACGAAATTATCAAAGTTGTGTCACAATCATTTTTAAATTGGCAAACATGCAAATGAGCACGTGATACGCAATTCATTCTGTTATAATATCGTATTTGAGGTGGTGTCAAAACAGTTTTTAATTAAATATGGAAGAAGAGGTCGTTGAACTCGATTGACCATGATGGCTAATTTTATTTGTATACAAAGTCGTGAATAAAATTAATATCGTGTTAGTTTTTTAAAATTTATTTTGTTATTTAATGAAAAAAAAAAACATTCTTTTAATTAATAGACAACAAATGTTTTAGTTTAGACGTTGTAGGTGTGCCAAAACACGCGAAGTTTAGTACACATCTGCAACAAAAATAAGGTCGAAAAAAACTTTGGGAATTTCCTTTTATTTTTAGTTCGAATTTATGGGTATTGCACTTATTTTAATGTCAAACATCAATTTTTTAATTGTCATTTCAAATAGTGGAAAAAAACAAATGACAAGAGAAATTGTTTTTCGAAAACGGATCTAATCCGAGTTTTATTTAAAAAAAAAAAGTTAATCAGTTATGGTCAATTAAGTGTCATAGGTTTAGGTCTCAAAAGTGCATCATTCAGAAAATTATTCATAAACATGAGGTTATCTATAAGGAATTTCTCTTATTTAAAATTAAATAAATAAATTAAATAAACACGAAAAACAATTTAGATTTTTCCGGACGTGTCTGTGATCTTCGGTTTTAGCTTGCAATATCTTAATTTTTTTTTCATCATTTCGATAACAAATGGTGTATTCTAGAAAATCTGTCACGTGATTATAACAAACGGATGTTGTTTAAATTAAAATGATAAAAAGAGTATAAAGAAACTGCATGAATATGTAAAAATTAGATCATTTGATTTAAATTTATTCAAAACAAAACAAATTTGGAAATTTCATGGCCAGTTGAACTTAATTCGTAATTAATTTGCTGCGATTTTTAACAAAAAAATCAAGTTAACCGTTGACATTGCTTCACTTGTTTTGTGGAAAAATTGCACAACATTGACACAGAAAAAGTGAGAATCTAGTATTATTGCCAAGGTGACTAAACCACGCCCCTCAAATAACTTTTTCACTCATTTTCTCCGTGAAAATTTCTCGTCGTATTATTTTCCATTATTACGAAACAAAGTAGGCTTCGGTGCGCCGATTCGCCAACCAGCTGTGTATATTGCGAACAGCTGACGTATCTCTAACCCCTCCTCCTCCTCCGCCCCCCTTGTGTTGTCGTCGATCAGCTGAGAGATCGCGGTCGGCGCGCTGTTTCTGTTTTGTTTCCTGCGGTCACTGCGATCTACGAGTTTCGCCAGTACAAACGCGTCACAGTCCAACCTTTTTTTATTATTCTATTTAGACGTAAGTGATGTGAGAATGTGACTTGGATTTTTCAAAATTTTGTTGTAAGTTAATGTTATTGAGAGGCGACATAATTGTGATGTTTTATCTATTATTATCTAGTGGGTGCAGACGTGACGGCGTCTTTTGTTCGCACTACACGCATTTTTATTTTTGAACCTTGACCCTGAAATTTCTGATTTTCTAGATTTCATTGTTTTTAATGGTAAAAAAAGCAATTAGTGAATTTTAAATACTTGATTAATATGCATAGGTGCGGATGAGGGGGGAGAGACGGGAAATTTGACATCACCTGTTTCCCCCTCCACTTCGTTTAAAAAAAAATTACCGGCGAGACCATAGCAACAAAGATTTTTGCTTTTCAGGTGATGTAATCAGGGATTTTTTTATTAAGCAATAATTAAAAGTTTTGGCATGTTTTTGTAAACTGACATTTTTTATATAGATATTCCCTCTTTCTTTATTATTTTTTTTTTGTATTTTGTTAAAATTTGAATTTTTAATTTATCAAATATCATTTTTACAAAATTAATTAACACTGTTTTGTTTATTTACCAGTGGTTAAAAAAAAAGACCTGAAAAATAAAAATAACGTAACACAAAATCGTAAATACTAAATGTTGCGTAACATTGGATCGTAATTTACCAGTTTTTTTGACTTGAATAATTTACATTTTTGATCCCAAAACAAATCAGATTTTTGGGCATTCTGCCATAAAATTGATGACGATTCTGTTATATTTAAAAAAATGATAAATCTCGGAAAAGAAAAAAGATAACAGAATTAATAATAATTTTATTAAATATTTTTTCCAAACTTGACTTTTACAATCAACTCTCAAGTTTCTGGTAATTTTGTCATAAAATTGACACCATTATTGTTTTGTTTTTTTTTTGTTTATTTATTCCTTATTTTAATTAAAACTTAAAATTCCTCTCATTAGCAATTCCCCCTCAGATTTTCACTCATTTGCATCAAATTTTCAAGTCATTTCATCCTTTGAAATTTTATCTGTTGTCAATCTCTTATCTCACGATAATATCAATTTCAGTTTCGTTTTTCCTCTCTCCTTTGTTTTAAACTGGAACAAATCAAAGTCTGTCACTTCCAAATTGTTTGGTCAATAGAAGGTGGTGGTCGATAAGTGTGTCATTAGCGTACTAGAGAGATAAGAAAAACCTCTTTGTCTCCCTCGAAATTGCGTCGTTGCACATTGTATATTAATAATAGAATGTTAGAGAATCCAAAAATATGACGGTTATCAACAATCACGTCCATATCAACGCACTAGCACATGTCTAACGATATCACGAATTATCTCTATTTTCATATTTAGAGCGAAAAGGAAATTTATTTTTCAGTTATCTTGAGAATAGACTAGATAAAAATTTCAAGCTTTTTTAGATGGAAATTTTAAAAATCTGATCTTTATCATTTTGAAACTTGAGATCGTTACAGGAAAAATTCCTACACTGACAGTTGAGAAAAAGAAGTGCAAATTGACGAAAAAAAAGCTTTTGAATGTATTTTTTTGTTTAAAAAAGGTGCAAAGTAGAAAAAATACTGTATGATATTTGCGCAAAATGCGCATATAAAACTCATACTAATTTTCTGATTATTAAAAAAAAATAGAATCTCAAAAATTAAGAAAATATTTATTACAAAAATAAATAAAAATTTAAAGTTTTTGAAATAAGATCTTCGAATGGAAAAGGTAAAAAATAAAGTCAAAGCTTTATTCGTCCTCAACTCGAAACTTGAGGTCTTTAGAGTAAATAAATACCTAGATGTTGAGGAAATTGAGGAAATTTTTTTGTTAGTATAGGATTTTAAAATTTGTCAGCATCACCTTTTTCCTTATTTTTAAGTGGTTTTAGATTTTTTGATACAAAATTTTGGTGGTCAGCTGACAAAGTTTCAGACTTTTCAGGTTCTGAAATGACTATTTTCGCGTTTCCAGTGTCGAATTTTTCGGTGAAATGTCGATTTTGTGTCTTTTGACAATTTAAAAAAATCAGTGATTTTAAATTATTTATTGAATTAATTTTTTACTTTAATTAATTTAGTATTAAGACCAGCTCTCTGCGACGTAACGTAACAAACTCTTATGGAGCCGCAATGTCTCAAACTTTGCCTTCCTTTTTTAGCTGCTGTTTTCATTATTTCTCTTTTTTTTTGAAGACACCAAAGAGAAACAGATTTTTTAATTTCTCTTAAGACAAAATTGTTCCTTTCAGACAATGTTCCACCACCTAACACGTTACGTCTGAAAAACTTAATTTAATGTTCGTCTTTCATAGTTTTTTTTTTAATTTTATTTTATTTATATTCGCATCAGTGTCGAAGCAAGAAACCAAATGTCGGCCATTATTTTTCTTTCATTTGACACCAAATGCGAAACGTTGTACATAATATAGTACAGAGATATAGTCTATTTTTATTGTAATTAATTAGTTTTAGTGAGACAGAGTATAAATTATTTTTGTTGGTTTTGTAAGTTTTAATCCGGGCTTAGTTTTCGAAAAACAACAACTAGAGTCAATTAGAAACAATAACATCAGCTTAGATGTGGAGGAAATTGAAGAAATTTTTTTTGTTTAGGATTTTTAAATTTGTCAGCGTCACTTTTTTCCTTATTTTTAAGTGTTTCAGATTTTTTGATATAAAATTTTAGTGGTCAGCTTACAAAGTTTCAGGCTTTTCAGGTTCTGAAATGACTATTTTCGCGTTTCCAAGTGTCGAATTTTCGTCGATTTTGTGTCTTTTGACAATTAAAAAAATCAAAGATTTTGAATTTATTATTGAATTAATTTTTTACTTTAATTAATTTAGTATTAAGACCAGCTCGTAACAAACTCTTATGGAGCCGCAATGTCTCAAACTTTGCCTTCCTTTTTTAGCTGCTYTTTTCATTATTTCTCTTTTTTGTGATGAAACGGATTTTTCAATTTCTCTTAAGATAAAATTGTTCCTTTCAGACGATGTTCCACCACCTAACACGTTACGTCATCGATCAATGGTTACCACAAACGACGTCATCATCATCAACAGCGGCCGAGGGGGTCGAAAGCAACACATCCTCAAGACTGACTTCCGCGGAAACGGAAGACGATTGGGTACTGGTAGAGCGCCGTTCCGACGACGACAGCGAAGGTAACTCCAAGTGCAGCTCCTTGGAGAGTCTGAACGTCGACAATGACAATGACAATGACGACGACGACGGTCTCATCGTGGTCGAACGAAGTCCCGACCGAGTCGTCGTCGTCAACACCAACACCGGCACTCTTCCAGTACCAGCGCTACTCACACGTACCAATTCACTGCCCCGGATCACCGCCATGGAGGAGTCATGGTTTCTCACACCACCACCGTGCTTCATCTCCACCGGACCGGTGCATATGGAAACATCCCCATTGGAGAACCTCCTCATCGAGCATCCGAGTATGAGTGTTTACACCCATCATGGTCGGAGGTATAATTTTGACGTGGAGGAGGAAACGGAAGCTGAAGTGGTGGAGGTGGTGGCGACGGAGGAAACCGGGGATAGTGACGACGACGGCGCCGTGGTGGTGCACAGGGCGCCCCGCGTTAATAGGGTCCACGRGCTGCAGCAGCAGGAGCGCCAGGGGGTCAAGAGCAAGCACGCCCAAAAGGTGAGAATTTCAGAAATAAGGAAAAAAAAATAGAAATTTCAAAATTTTAAAATAATAAAATTCTCAAAATCTCGTTTTTTGGCAAGTTTTTAAATTTCGCGCTCGGAATCGCTGCCAAGTGTCATCAGATGTCTGAGCGCTAAAGAAAAGCACCCTAAGCAATAAAAAAATGCAATTTTGACAAAAAATATTAAATAACAAGGCTATGAAATAGAGATTTTGTGTTTTACATAAACACTTCCTTTTAATTAACGCAAGTTATAAATAAGATTTTTTTGAACATTCTAAAAAATAATGGATATAAATTAAGCCATATTTGTGCCAATAACAGTTTTTTTTCTTTATCATTTTTTTTCCTAGTCAAAGTATCAAAATTGACAATTTTCAGAATAAAAAAATCATATTTATTTCAATAGACTAGAATGATTGAAACTAACTTTTTAGTTAAAAAAAAAATTGGCAACATTTTGAATTTGGCGCTTTGCCTCTGTTATCAAATGTTTGAAAATGCCAATAAAAAGTCACCCTGAGCAATAAAAAAAAGCTATTTTGACAAAAATATCAAAGAACAAGGTCATGAAATAGGGGTTTTGTATTTTTCATAAAAATTCTCTGTTRTTGTTTCCTTTTCATTTTTTTTAACTAATGCAAATTATAAATAACATTTTTAAAACATTATGACTAGTTTTTTTTCTGTATCATGTATTGTTTTCGTAGTCAAACTATCAAAATTGACAATTTTTAGAATAAAAAGAATTTTTAAAAAAAGTATATCTTATTCAACTAACGAAGTAGAATAACTGAATTTATTTTTCAAACAACAGTTGATAACATTTTGAATTTCGCACTGTGTGGGTTTCGGCCGTGCTGCCCTCTGTTATCAAATGTTTAAACATTAAAGAATAGTCMGTCTAGGTTTTTCCGAAACACCCTAAGCAAAAAAACGCAATTTTACCAAAAAATTCAAGTACAAGGCAATGAACTAGGGATTTTGTATTTTACATAAAAATTCTTATTAATAAGAGTTGTTAAACTAAACTAAATGATAATAAACATAAATAAGTCAGATTTATGCCAATGATTAGTTTTTTTCTTTACCTTATATATACAAACTATCAAAATTGACAAAAAATAGTAAAAGAAAATCATATAATAATAATAATTAAATTCATTTTCTAGTTTGAAAAAAACAAAAAAAATAGACAACATTTTTGAATTTCGTGCTCTGCAAAAAAAAAACGCAATTTTGTCAAAAAAATATCAAAGATTTTGTATTTTACATTTCCTTCTTTGGTTTTTATTTAACGTAAGTTATAAATAAGATTTTTTAAACGTTCTAAAAAATAATGGATATAAATTAAGTCACGTTTTGGTAGTCAAACTATCAAA